CTTACCAGATTATATTAAAACCACAATTAATAAATATGCGATTATTTTCTTTTGGTTCTTTATGTAGTAGTAAATATATAACAAAAACGGGTGGTAATTTTTATATTTCTCATCTTTATAAACCAAGACCAATAGGAAAGAAACTAAATAACAAAGTAAAATCTGGTTCAACAATTTTCTATTTGCCAAAAGCAACAATTCGAACAGGCTCAAATGAAAGGGTATCGGCATGGCTGCAACATCTCCAGAGGTTAGTGATTCTTCTAATTGGCCGAATAGTGGTCGCAACTTGTTGGGAAAAGTGTTGATGGAAGTTNCAGAAGCTAGCCCCTTCGATCCTGTTTGGGGTATCGGCATGGCTGCAACATCTCCAGAGGCTAGTGATTCTTCTAATTGGCCGAATAGTGGTCGCAACTTGTTGGGAAAAGTGTTGATGGAAGTTCGACGCTTGTTGCGTGATCGGCCATTGTCTGGCGAAGATTTCCCTGCCTCTCCTTTCCCCGAGCCCTCCTTATCGCAGCCGTTGTCCTCTGGTCAACAACTCATCTACGAGGTGGGTTCTCATGGTGCGGCACCACCTTCAGAGGGCCGGGGTGAAGATCCTGCTGGCCTTCGTTTGGACGCTCCGGGGGACCATGCTCCTGGCGTTCACTTGGTGGCCGCTACCTCTGTTTGCCAAGACCACCCTCCTCTTCTGGAACACGGACCGGATTTGGTGGGCGGCACGCTTCTGCTGGATTCGGATTCGTACACCACCCGGGTCCTGTTGCATGGAGGGCCTACAGCCACTTCTCAACTGCCGCGAGTGGCGCTGCTGGACTCTGGATCCCCCGCGTCCTTCGTGTCTGACTCTGTCGTTACCGCTATGATTGATGCAGGAGCTTTGACTTCGGGGAGTGTCCGTGTTTCGCCCTCTCGTCGTTGGGGTGGGTTTGGTGATGGACCCGCCCTCGTGACCACCAAATCGGTTCGGTTAACAGTCAACTTCCTTCACGGGGATCGTGCTACGGCTTCTCTGGCGGTTTGGGCCTGCGTTGTTCCAGATGCCGCCATGGGGCACGCCGTACTCCTGGGTC